GGGCTAGTAAAAGTCACGACTTACCTTGCGGTAAGTCTTTTCTATCCCACGATGGCCGCTTGTTGGGGCATTGTGACACTCATACATGATGCGTAATCGCAAATCATGATGAGTGGGGACGACGACACGAGGCGTGTCGCCGCCAACGGCTGTATAGTACAGCAATCCGTTTCGCGTTGTATACCGGTCCGATGAGGATCGGTACAAAGCCGGTAAATTCTTAAATGATATACTGGATGGATGCACCAGATGATCCATCAATCGCAGAAGATCCTTTTCTTCTGCGTATGCCTTTCGTACGTCGTCAAGTAAGCTTGACGACGGGACACTGACTAACAGTGTCGCAACAGTGGGCTTATCCTCACTGTTGAATTGTGCGTCCGGCTCGGAATCGGGCCGGCGCAAAAGCGCATCATCGACGACATTGAGTCGTCCAGGTTTATACTCCACGGAGAACTTATACTCTGCGAAGAAAGACAGCCACCTCGCCATCCTTTGCGAGAGGTGTGGGCTGTTTACGGCCGTGCGTAATGACGCATGGTCCGTATAGACAACAAACGGTCTATTTCCGAGGAGATAGACGCGAAACTTAGCCAGTACGTACTTCATGGCAAAGAGTTCCTTGTCATGCACTGGGTAATTACGCTCAGCTGCTTGCAGCTGACGCGACTGATAACAGATGACGCGCTCCGCGCCATCTGCATCGAACTGCATCAACGCACAGCCGATTGCGAAATCGCTGGCGTCACAGACCACATAAAATGGTCTGTCCTGATCTGCAATCGCCAATATCGGCGATTGCATCAAGCTTTGCTTGATACCTTCAAAGGAACGCTGGCACTCAGCGTTCCATGACCACTTGACATTTTTCTTGAGCAATCAAGAAAGATGAACAGTCATCTCGGCGTAGTTGCGCGAGTACTTGTGCAAGTACGCCGCAAGACCAAGAAACTTCCTTAGTCCCTTGACATCTACTGGCACGGGCCAGTCGGTGGTCGCCTTGATATATTCAGGATCAGGGCGGACGCCGTGTTTACCCACGATGCACCCAAGAAGGGGTATTTTGCAAGCCGCAAGCATACACTTCTTGAGGAGGCACACAACTTATGCTTGCGCATAAGTTGAAGGACTTGACGAACGTAAGTTCTGTGAACCGTCACGTCTATCTTTCCGTCCTTAGCCCGGCTATGGATGAACACATGGTCGAAGTTACTTGGTGCGAAGTTACTTGGTGCGAAGTCTCGCACCCGTCTCAACAGATTTGTAACACATCTGTTGAACGTTGCAGGGGCAGTCCTCATCCCCTGTGGCATCACTAGCCATCCCCATAGCATACCGCTGGGGGTGCTCACTACTGTGCACGGTATGCCCCATTTACGCATGAGGATCTGATAGAATCCATCCATCAGATCCATGGACGAAAATACGGTACTCTTTGATATACCATCTATGATTACGTCCTTTCTTGGTATCGGCGTCAGAGCCGGTACCGTTGCAGCATTCAATTTGTTGAATGCGTGCACCATCCGCCATCTTTCGTGGCTTTTATCCGCACACAGAAGGTCCGGAGAGCTGTGAGGGGAAGTAGATTCCCTCCCATGGCCCGCTGCAAATCGATCGACAAAGAACTTGTCGATCGCTAGTACTTGTTCACGAGACAGTGGTCACTAATTCATGACACAGTACGTCGGGCCCGGTTTGAATTCAATCTCTTGTCGAGTGCCTATGTCATTAGGCAACTCGCAAGGTACGGATATAGGGAACACATCCTTGAATTCGATCAAATACTTATACAAAGGATTTGTTTGAAGTGACTCCCAGGATTGAGACGTGTATCGCTCAATCTGAGTCTTTCCATCGAGGACACTTTCTTCCATCGATGAGCTGCTGAGAACCCGTTCTTTCTCAGCAAATACCGTGTTCGACCAAATATCGGTTACATACTCATCCTCTGGGACGAGTAAACATATTTGCTTGTCTTTGCCACTGCGCAGATCACGCAGGAAATGCTTGGGCTCAAGCGTTGGCAACTGAGTTATCTCCGAAGTTAACGCCGGAGGCACAATAAGATCAAGTGTATAAGCGCCTACCCTTGATCCGTCATTGACCAAGACGTTCAACGTCTCGGTTTCTTCCTGGGAACTTGCTTCCACAGGTTGCTGAGAGCCTAATCCCTCAGCAAGTGACACTTGAGGAATTCCTTCCATAAGTACGTGGGGACTTATTCCCTCTATGTCTTCTGACTGTGCTTGTGCAACCACAGTCAGGGACTGATCATCTACGGTCGACTCTCCAGTCGTCCTAGGATTACCGTGTTGCCCTTTGGTGGCAACAGGTTTCTTCTTTCTATGCTGTTGCTCGCTAGGCATGCATCCGTGTCCTGGTCCACTCAACTTATTCGAGTAAAGGAGCTTCGGCGCAGCCTGGACGTCTGTACAGCCGCCGGGAGCTTGCTCCACAGTGTAGTGATCAACTACACTGAGGTCTTGTGCAGCCGTGCTAACGCCCGTACCGCAAGTGAGACCATCGCACTCACCTGCAGCACATCCACACGCTTGTGGACACTCCATGAGGTTCATCAGATGGCCATCTGATGAACAACCGGCAAGCATCTTCATGGACCGATGCGGCCGGCTCAACCTTGGCTCTTACCTTCTGAGCAAAGGTATTTCCAGGATGACATCAAATTTGTCATCCAGATCCAATACGATGAAGTCATCATCGTACTGTTTGCCCTCTAACGTGTAGTGGAATCCTACTACACGTTTCTCAACGGTATTCGATGCGCCTGTTGCAAGGCGCACCGTCATCCTCGTTAAAGAGATATCGCGCTTAATGAAGTCGAAGCTACGACTCTCTAGTGACTGGCGACGAACAAAGTTGTTCGACGCCCCACAGTCTACTAGGGCACGAAGCGACAAATCATTTGTCACTTACATCTTGTAGGTGATGAGTGATATCTCATCACCAAGTGCAGCGACACACAACGATTGTGTATCTGGAGCAACTTTCGTCAAGATATTCGCAAATTCTTTTGGGGTTGCTGGATGCGTAGGGCGCTCAGCCCCTCCTGACCCCGACCATTTTTTTATGGTCCGCTTTGCTGTTGCGGTTTCGCAACAGCGTTGGCCTACGCACATTGCCCTTATTGACGAATAATCGATCATTTTGCTCAGTGCTGTTTGGTACTGGGCGTGGGGAGCTTCACTAATAAGCGTAATGTCTTAGCTTTTTACAGTGATCGCACTTCTGAAATCGCTTCCTGTTTGAAGATCGAGGTCTCTCAATCTCAACCTAATCAGTTGTTCATTAGTTATGGACCTCCGACCTCTCGTCGTCTCGGTGGATGATATGAGCTCGAACTAACATGAGCCTGTCTGATGCTTAAGTCTCACTATTCCACTGCCGAGATTTCTTGTTCACGCAATCCAACTCTGAGTGGAACAGGTGGCTCCTGACGGGTCAATCTGCGATTCCCCTTGCATGAACACAGTAATCAACGTGTGTTCATGAACTGGGTTAGCAGTTATACTACTCGCGAGGAGTCGCATATGTTGTGATTAAGCGTGCACATCACGCTTACCCTGCTTGAGTTTCAGGAGCTCTGAATGAGCTCTGAACGAGCCCTGAACTCAGCCCGTGGCGGCGTAAACCTTGTCTGAGCCGGGACTTGAAGTCATCTAGCGACATAAACACATGTGGGTCGCTACTCTCGAGCCTTAGGGACCAAGTTTTGGCACGTCCTGCCAAGTGGGTCTGAGAAAATGTGAGTTTCATTTGCTCATAGTCGACACGACGTGCCTTCAAGGCTCTGTCGAGTTCTACAAACCATAGTAACAGGGAGTATTCCGGGACTCCACTGTACTTGAAGATGTCAACTTTCATGACCTCGGGACGACGCGCATATGCCGTCCCGCCCACAGCAGCATGGAGTTGCTGCTGTCTCAACAGCTCTGTCTGTTGAGCACCAAGTTCTCTCAACTGCTCGGCCTGTTAAGAGCCTAGCTGGTGAAGCAAGGCTACTTTCTCTCTCTCGGCGACAAGTTCATTTTGAATGAACTTGGCTATAGCGGCATGTTGTTGGTCTCTGTCTGAAGACTCCAACATGGCGCTAATGGCGAACTCGCCTACGGTAGAACTCATGCGTTCTACCGCACCCCATTCGATGCTACTCAAATGGGTAAACCCTTCACGCGTGGCGTGAAAGCTCTCTTCACCATCCAACATGTTCATGTTGGATGTTGTAAACCTTGGAAGGACTACAAATTGCTACCAGGTGTAACGGGCACACCCTTGCGTGAACTTAACGCAAGGGTTTTGGTGCCCCGACAGACGTACCCGAGGCAAACGAGGAACCATAGGTAGGGTAAAAGCAGAACTGTTATATCAATATAATTGAGTCTTTTAACCACTGTCTCTCTGTTTGACTTAACTTAATTAAACTAATCTAACTGAGTGTATGGTGACGTCTCGTCACCACTCATTGCGCGCGTCTTGCGGCGATTGGTGGGTTGATATCATCAAGCTATCAACCAATGAACAGGCTCTTTGGTCGACCCTTCAATATCACCACCATTGGTGATATTGCTGAAAGAATATTCAAAATAATATTATTTATTGTCATTATCTCATAAATGACAATTTCCATGTAACGGGCTGCCCCGTTTCACACTTGCACAATAAGAATGTGTGAAGAGCGTCAGTTCGAGCACGAGAAGCCAACGCTTCATCTTGGCCAGCCACAGCCCATTATGGCATCGGTTTCGTACGCGCCAGTTGACTAACGACCTGCTCGTTTCAGTCGTTGGACGACCGGTTCTCTTTGTGTGCGCCACACACCCACACACATACCCACATACCCACTCACACACCTACCGACATACGCCCCTCCCCTTCTTTGCACTGCCTCCTCCCCAGTAGGCGGTCCGTCCCATAATGCAAACAACCGCTCAGTCGAACAGTCAATCGCTCGCCCCCCAGTGCCGTCCCCCGCGTTCACGATGCTCCTCAACACGGCGCTGTTCTATATGATGCTCACGGAGGCCGCCATCTGCCTCGTGCTGAGCCTCCCGGTCGGCCAGTGGCTGTCGCACGCCGCCGTGTCGTTCCTCATGCGCGCCATCGGGCGCAGAGACTCACTGGCCAACACCGTCGCGACGGTCGTCCTCGCGCTCGTCTCTCTGCTGTTCCTCTGTACGCATCGCGTCTGGGAATGGCCTACTAACGACGTCAAGTGGTCTACTAACGCCGTCCGCTGTCTCTCTTCTCTCTATGTCTTTGTGTGTGCTCTCTCTCTCCCTCTCCCTCTCTCTCTCTTTTCTCTCTGTGCTGCTGACGGCGCCTTTGGCCCACAGCCGACGTGTCGACCGTCTACAAACACCACTCGTCGGACGAAGTGCTGGGCGACGGCCTGCGCGTCCGCCTGCTCACGGCGCAGCGCGACATGTACATCACGGGCTTCTGCCTCTTTCTCTTTCTGCTGCTGCGGCTCGTGTACATTGCGCTGGCGACGAACCTCCGCCTGGAAAAGAGTCTCGAGGCCATGACGAAGCAGGCGGAGGGAGCGGCCAGTGGCTACACGTCGCTCCTCGAGGAGAACGAGTGCTTGACGAAGCAGACGCACAAGTTGCACGCGCTGTTGGACGACGGCAGTGGCAATGACGACGCTAAGGGATCCAAAGTGGACGTCCTGGCGCGCCTGGTGCAGGAGAATGCCGACCTCGAGGAGCAGGTGCGAGCGGCTGCGGATAAGCGGACAAAGGCGGAGAATGAGGTAGCGGCCGTGACGAAGCAGGCGGAAGGACAGAGTGCGGCCTTCATGACGCTGCTGGAGGAGAAGCAGACGCTGGACAAGCAGCTCGAGACGGCCGCGTCTCAGCGCAGCCAACTCGAGCGCCAGCGCGAAGAGATCGCGACGCTGACGGCCGAGCGGGACGCGTTGAAGAGCCAGATCCACGACTACGACTTTATGTTTGCCGAGGCCAAGAAGAAGGCCGAGTGAGTTATTGCCGCGGCGTCGGGTATAGCGCGTACCGCGCAACTGAGTTACAGGACGTGAAGCAAAACGCAATAAGTTGTGCTGCGTGAAGAGGCTTTGCACCGTGTTCAGTGTTGCACGTGCAGACTGTGTTGTGCAGGTGCTGCAGGCGCGAGTTCTCGGAGTATCTGTGCGCTTGCACTAGCAGGTCGCAAGCTGCTAATGCTGCTGACAACGAACGCGACCGGCGCACTATCCCTATATCTGTGCGCTGCAAGCAGTCGGTAGTGGCTTCTTCAACGGCAGCACAAGACACGCCGTGAAGCACCGACACGTCAATTGATAACGAGGAGTAACGAGATTCAGAGTCACCGGTTCTTGTGACTGTCGAGCGTAAGCGTCTGAGGATATACATCAAAGATACGGCCACATGACCAGTCGTTTGCACGTGGACAGTCTGAACACGCAGCGCATCGACAGGTACACCCGCAACAGGCGAAAGTCAGTGTGTGAGTGACCCGCAGCCCACTCACTGACACCGCTGTACCTCAGCCGTCTCACACTTCACTGCTATCGGCTCTGCACGCGGCAGATGTCCTTCACAGCGGCTTGTCGGGTACCCGAATGGCCGTTGAGGCGCTTCTTGACCGGAAGGCCGTCGACGTGCTGCGCTTTGCGGACCCCTTGCTGCTGTGTCTTCTGCCCGACGCTACCGGTCGGATCGATGCGTTGCGTTGTTCGGCGCTCTGTGCCGTCCCCACGCGCTCGTCGTTGCTGTCATGTGGCTCCACGAGTCGCTCCACGAGCGACGGAGTGCGCGGCAAACAGCTTTCCGAGTCGATCCAATGCATCAGATGCTGCTCTTGATCAGAGGACGGCCCACGCGACCGATGACGCGCACCACTCGTTTGCTCCACTGCACATGCCGTCCGTTCCTCGCGCGACTGGAGCTGCCGCACCCCAACGTGTGCTGTCTGTGCGGCACTCGACTCGTCTCTCCAACCCCCTCGCGGCCTCCGCTCGCCGTCGTCGTCTGTATCCAATTGCAGTCCCCGCACGTTGTCCACAGCGTCTGCAAGCGCCTTCTCAAACGCGCTCTTCTCCAATACGCGGGCCCTTTCGCACGCGGCCACGAGCTCCTGTGCGTCCTGCAGCTCCGTCGCCAACGTGCGGGCCGCCAGTGCGAGTTGCGCCTCTCGTTCTCCGCATCGACCGCAGCGCTCCTGCGCCTCTGCACGTCGCTCGACCTCCGAGACGGCCACCCGCTCGTCCGACTCGATACAAACTGCGTCCAGTCGTTTGCCGATCGGCGCTGTCTGTGGACCGCCCGCGTCTGCTCTGTCCCGCAGCAGTCCCTCCACTTGCGTCTGCACGAACGCAAACTGCTCCTGCACCGCCTGTCGCTCCAGCACTGCGTCGGCCGCTCGGCACCGCTCCGTCTGCAGCGCCGCCTCCGTCTCCTCCAACAGCGTCTCCAGCTCCGCCTGCTGCAGCGCAAAAGCCGCTTTTTGCGCGCACATTGTCTGCAGCTGCTGCTGCACCGTTGCGGTCAGACTGCAGAGAGCGGCCACGAGCGTCGCGCGCTTCAGTCGGCGGTCTTTGTGCGCGCGCGACGCAACGAGAGAGCGACTGCTTTGACGCGTCGGAACGGCATTCGCGCGCAGCAGCGGCGGCGTTGTGTGGCCGTTTATGAGATTCGGGACGTTCGTGTCCATGTGGGGAGGCGGGAGATTTCTGACGGTGACGCTGCAAAGCGCTACTGCTACTGCCGTCGGTGGTTTGCGCTATTCGTATGTGGGTGGGCCCAAAGCAGTGCATGAGCTCGTTTCTTCATGACCGCAGCCACTGTCCATGTGGTTATTTATACCCATTCGGACTCGGCGCAGTCGGTCCAGCTCGGGGACGCAATATAACGGGGCAGCCCGTTACATGGAAATTGTCATTTATGAGATAATGACAATAAATAATATTATTTTGAATATTCTTTCAGCAATATCACCAATAGTGGTGATATTGATGGGTCGACCAAAGAGTCTGCTCATTGGTTGATAGCTTGACGATATCAACCCACCAATCGCCGCAAGACACGGGCAATGAGTGGTGACGAGACGTCACCATACACTCAGTTAGATTAGTTTAATTAAGTTAAGTCAAACAGAGAGACAGTGGTTAAAAGACTTAATTATATTAATATAACAGTTCTACTTTTCCCTAAGACAGTGTTGCCTCTGTCTTACATACCGCTTCCTCGGTTGCCTCGTGTACGCTTGTCGGTGCACGATACCCTTGCGTTAAGTTCACGCTATGGTGTGCCCCGTTACACGCAACGCCGTCTCATGCACTGTGGAAAATAGTAGTGCTCACAACATGTAGTGCGTGTTAGACTGTGTTTGGATTGCGCTTTTTTGTAGTTTAGTGATAGCGTCGTGGACTTTTCAGCTGCGAAAGCGAGCGACCGATCTGCGTTTGCCGACAAACGCACACTGATATGTTCGTACACAACAGTCGACATCGATTCGCAATCTCAGTACGTTGCAAGGAAGTGCTCGTTGTGCAGTGCGACTTTATTGTGTGTATCGCGGCGTACTGTGAGAGGGGCAAAGAGCCTGCGATAGGGCCATGTTGTTTTCTCAGTCTTTCACTCAATCATTTACCAGCTCACTATTGGAGAAGCTCAACAATTTGCAAGCTCTGAACGACTGACCGACCATTTTTGCATCCCATGTACATCCTACTTTCGTCGGATAGAGCCGTTTGGCACGATGCCCCGCTAGAAAGAAGAAACAGGAACGCGCGCTTGTTGGAACAGGAACTTGTCGATTCCCATTTCCCAACAATGGGGGATATGTACCAACTCGCGCACACTGTTCTTTGAGACATTGCCTGGTTTGTGCGAAAAGGAACGATAGGGGTAATATAGCGCGAAAAACGTTGAGAGTAGAATTCCAGCAAGCGTCCAATTGAACCCCGGCCCGTGCTTTCTTTTGACCGCAAATTAGTATTGTAACCACCTTGATTTTGTGAAGAAGTGACCCCTTCAACGACGTTGACATCAGATGTAGGACAATACCAAATGCGTTATCCCGAACAAATCCGAAGATATGCAGTACGACTAATGGAAACCACCCCAATACATCAAAGAAAAAAGTACAAGTACTGTAGCACAAACTGGACACAATACGAATAATTGGATTAAACAGAAGTTATTTGCAATTCATCCATAATAATGCACAACAGAATGTACTGTAGCGAGGTGAACCCATTTCATTAAAAATGGTACCAACGTATCAATTTATTTTTGGGTATTATCCATTTAGATAATACTCAATCAACATCACTCGAGAAGAGGTGATGTTGGCGGAACATAATCCCTGATGGTAATATTCTTGGGTGCTCCACTTTTAATCGATGTAATTACATCAACCAAATTAACCACCAATCGCTGCTGGATGCGCGCAATGGGTGGTGGACAAGGTATTCACATAGGAGATGGTAGTTTATATAGTAAGTTTAAGCCAAAGATGATTTACAAAGAAACATAACTATATTAAATAACGAATCTTCTTTTCCAAAGAAAGAGCCTTCATTTTATGTTTGCTTCTTTGCGCCTCCTCGCCACGCGTATGTGACGCCAGGAATACGCAGCCTTGTGTGTAAAGTCTACACAAGTTCTTACCAGTTATCTGGCAAGAAGCATGCCTCGTTACACCTGGTAGCACTTTGTAGTGCTTCCAGCGACCACTACCACCTCATTTAGCATGGACATGTTGGATGAGTAGGAAATCTTCCACGCCACGCGCAAAGGCTTTGACTATTTGAGTAGCATCGAATGGGGTGCGTTAGAACGCATGAGTTCTACCGTCAGCGAAACCGCCATTAGCTCCGTGTTGAAGTCCCTTGACAGGGACCAACGACATGCCGATATAGCCAAGTTCATTCAAAATGAACTTGTCGCCGAGAGAGAGAAAGTATTCTTGCTTCACCAGCTAGGCTCTTAACAGGCCGAGCAGTTGAGGGACCTTGGTGATCAACAGACAGAGCTGTTAAGACAGCAGCAGTTTCATGCTGCCGTGGGCGGGACGACACACACGCGTCGTCCGGAGATCTTGAAGTTTGACATCCTCAAGTACAGAGGTATCGAGTAAGACTCCATTTTATTATGGATAGTCGAACTAGACAGAGCTATACGGGCACGCCTTATCGAGGATGAGCAAATGAAACTCACATTTTCTCAGACCCACTTGGCAGGACGTGCCAAAACTTGGTCCCTAAGGCTCGAGAGTAGCGACCCACATGTGTTTATGTCGCTAGATGACTTCAAGTCCCGGCTCAGACAAGGTTTACGCCGCCACGGGCTGAGTTCAGGGCTCGTTCAGAGCTCATTCAGAGCTCCTGAAACTCAAGCAGGGTAAGCGTGATGTGCACGCTTAATCACAACATATGCGACTCCTCGCGAGTAGTATAACTGCTAACCCAGTTCATGAACACACGTTGATTACTGTGTTCATGCAAGGGGAATCGCAGATTGACCCGTCAGGAGCCACCTGTTCCACTCAGAGTTGGATTGCGTGAACAAGAAATCTCGGCAGTGGAATAGTGAGACTTAAGCATCAGACAGGCTCATGTTAGTTCGAGCTCATATCATCCACCGAGACGACGAGAGGTCGGAGGTCCATAACTAATGAACAACTGATTAGGTTGAGATTGAGAGACCTCGATCTTCAAACAGGAAGCGATTTCAGAAGTGCGATCACTGTAAGAAGCTAAGACATTACGCTTATTAGTGAAGCTCCCCACGCCCAGTACCAAACAGCACTGAGCAAAATGATCGATTATTCGTCAATAAGGGCAATGTGCGTAGGCCAACGCTGTTGCGAAACCGCAACAGCAAAGCGGACCATAAAAAAATGGTCGGGGTCAGGAGGGGCTGAGCGCCCTACGCATCCAGCAACCCCAAAAGAATTTGCGAATATCTTGACGAAAGTTGCTCCAGATACACAATCGTTGTGTGTCGCTGCACTTGG